TCTCACCCACATGTGCCTTAACCAGTCCAGGGTCAGGAAACAAGCACGGTTTCTTCATCACATGCTTGCTGCTCCATGTGCTTCCTCAGGTCTCCTTCTGGCTCTCCATTCAGCTTTTCTCTTCTGCCCCTTCTCTTCTCTCCTTTTTCTCTGCTCAACTCCACCCTCCTTCTGGGTGGGGGAGGGAACCTGTAACTTCCCTTTTTCCTAGGGACCACCCTATTACAAAACCTGCCTTTTCCCAAGGATGTCATTTCCCTTGAAACTTGACAAACAAAAATTGCTTCTATGCCCCACCTTTCAGCATGTAACAGATTACACCTCCCCACACAAGGGAGAAATCACAACACAGGTATGAAAACCTGGTAGTTACCTCATATACTGTAATGCTTTCCACAACAGACCTTCCTCAGCAGGAAGCAGAATCTTAGAATCTTGTCTTACACCAGTAATCAAACAGATCCAGAATTCAAATGGCAAACATGCCCCAAACGAATTGTGTAGACAAATTTCACAGCAGCAAACCCTTTAGACTCAATATCTTTTCTAATTTTTCATATCCAGACTTTGGAAAATTCAAGCTATCTCCAAGAATCCATTAAGGTTACCAGCAGTTACTAGTTACTGATCAAGGCTTAGTGTTTCTTCTCATCCAAGCATACATTTGCTAATTTAAACACCACTGCTCCATTGTTGGTTTACAAAACCCCTAAAGCAGAGATCAGGGAGTAGTCAAAGTCAAAGCAAAGGAGGAAAATTATCATTGCCTTTAGAAATGCTAAAGACACTCATAAAATGGCTGAGATCACAAAAAAAAAAAAAAAAAGTCCAAAGTCATTAACTTTAGTTAATGAAGGAAGGGAAAAATCTTAGGAGGAGCCCAAAGGAACAAAAACTTCCAAGTTTCAGAGAAGCCAGCTAAGTGGTCTCAGACGCCATCTTTGATCTGGCCACATGGTCTATCTTTTCAGTAAAACTGCTATACTACTTCCACAAATATCAAATCTCTTAGCAACTGACTGTTACAAGGCAGGGAGAGAGGGGCATCACTGAACCTCCAAACCTGCTGTAACTGGGTGGTCCCTAGGAGAAGGGAAGTTCCAGGTTCCCTGCCCCACCCAGAAGGAGGGTGGAACTGAGCAGAGAAAAAGAAGAAGAGAGAAGGAAGACAGATGGAGAAGGAGACCTAAGGAAGCCACATGGAGCAGCAAGCATGTGATGAAAAAACCGTGCTTGTTTCCTGACCCTGGACTGGTTAAGGCAGATGTGGGTGAGAGACCTGTAGGGAGGTGACTATGGCAGTGTTTATATTGATTTTGATGTTGCTCTTTTCCTCCCAGACTTGTCTGGCCATTTCTGACCCTTTTCCATGGGTCCCGGCCAGAAGGTGCTTTAGTCTTGTGGCAGGCTTTCAGGCCTTGCTTTGGGCCAATCCCTTTTGGGTTGACTTTTGCCCACGAGGGGATGGGTAACTTCAGGTGTTTGATTTAGAAGTTACATTCTTTGTATTCCATATTGTATATTCACTGTATTAAAGTCACTTTTCATTAAAGCTTTATATGTTTTGTCTTGTTGCGGCGGATGGCAGAACCCACTTAGAGCAGGCAGATTTTGAGGCCTCAGGGGTGCCTCTCTCTGAATTGAGGTGCCCTATAACACTGCCTGCTCTAAATAGGTTCTGCCATCCGCCACATCAAAACAAAACATGTAAGACTTTAATGAAAAGGAACTTTACTACAGTGAGTATACAATACAGAAGACAAAGAATATAATTTCTAAATCAAAGCCCTGAAGTTACCCATCCCCTCATGGGCAAAAGGCAACCCAAATGGGATTGGCCCAAAGCAAGGCCTGAAAGCTGCCACAAGACTAAAGCACCTTCTGGCCGGGACCCATAGGAATGGGTCAAAAGTGGCCAGACAAGTGTGGGAGGAAAGGAGCAAAATCAATATAAAAACTGCCATAGTCAACCTCCCCATGGATCTCTCACCCACATCTCTTTCAACCAGTCCAGGGCCAAGAAATAAACACGGTTTCTTCACATGTCTCCCTTTGCTCCATGTGGCTTCCTCAGGTCTCCTGGCTCTCCATCCTTCCTTCCTTCCTCCTCAGATTTCTTCTCTTCTCTTTTTTTTCTCTGCTCAGCTTCACCCTCCTTCTGGGTGGGGTAGGGAACCTGGAACTTCCCCTTTTCCTGGGGACCACCTTGTTACACCCTCTCTTGTGTCCATACTATACTGTTGAAAGCCTAATTGTTAGCACCAACTATCTCTTAGCTTCACAGCTTTAGCAGTCTGCTCCCAAGTATTGACACACTCTGCTGTTTTGTCTGATGGCTGCCCATCCTCTGCCCTTGGGGAATGAGCTGAACTGATTGGCTAAATTCCAAAGTTTTTGAGTATCTCAAGGAGGAGTTTTTGCTGCAGAGATTTAAGACACACCTTATCATCCAAGATTGTTGAATGTAGTTATTTAGCAATTTCCTCATGGGTACAGTTAAACTAGATTAGGCTTCCTTTTTGCAACCCTAGAAATGGAGTGGCATTCTTATTGGGGATCAAAAAGACACTAAAGTTTTCTAGTAGTCTCTCCTCTAATATCTTTTGATTGCACTTGATTCTAACAGCTGAATAATGAAAACTTCCTCTACATCAAGGCAGGTTGTCTGGGAGTTCATGTGGCTGGCAGGCATCCCAGCTGGCAAATTTAGCAAGAAGATTCGATGTTGAATAGAACCATCTCAGGCATTCTTGGTGGTTCCATTATTTCTTGATGGTTCTAAAACTGAATGTACAGTTCTGTGTAAGGAATAAATTATCTCTCCTTCTCGTGGTCCATCGTGCATTTTGGATGGATGCCTGGTGAGGGAAAATGTATCCTACCAGGGTGTCTGGAGCAGAATGTACAATATAGGAACAAAATGTGTGCCAAGGGCCAAGGCAGGAAATCTTAAGGAAGACAAAGCTTGGCCACTGGGAGAAATTTTCATTGCTTTTAGTCAGAGATGGGAATTAATCCCAGAGAACACCTGGAAGAACTCAGAGGCTACTCAGTGGTTACTTTATTAGCTGACTACCCAAATGAGACTAATAATTTTGGTAGCACCAAGCTGGAATAAAATCTGCAATGGCAGAAACAACTCAGAATACTTAGAGCCAAAGGTTTAATTCTGTTACAGGATTAAGTCTTGAATGCATTGCCAATGAACATGAACTGTCTGGGCCAAATCTTGATCCGAGTTGTACTGTCAATATGGCAGCTACTGGGCACATGTGGCTGAATTATCATCCATGATTGTTGAATGTGGTTATGTAGCATTTTCCTCAAGGGTAATGTTAAGCTAAATTAGGATTCCTCTTTGTAGCCCTAGAAATGGAGTGGCTGATGGGGTCTATTTTGGTGGTCCAATAGGACAATAAAGTTATCTAGTAGTCTCTGCTCTAATAACTTTTGATTGCGCTTGATTCTAACAGTTGAATAATGAAAATGTCCTCTACATCAAGGCAGGTTCTCTGGGAGTTCATGTGGCTGGCAGGCGTCCGAGCTGATAAACTTAATTAAAGTTTTATAAAAAACAATTGGACTCCACAGTCATCCATGTCACATTTCAAGTGTTCAGTACTAGTATGGCCTCTAGCGGCTACCACACAGAACAGTGCAAATTCATGGAACATTGACATCATTGTAGGACTGATTTAGAAGATAAAGAATAGGTCCTGAAAGATAGTCCATCAAGAAACACCATTTGGTGGCTTGATTGTCCACACCAAAGAAGCCCTGTCTAGTTGTTATTATGAATCAGTTGAGATTTGAAAACAAGGCAATGAGACCTTAAATATTGGTGTGAATTGTAATACTTAATTTTCTCAGTAAGTACCTTCAGTTAGTGGATTATTATGGATAATGGTCACAGGTGAAGAAGCAGGAGCAGAGGATGCAATGCTCTGATGTTAGAACATCCGCTGAGTGAGGAGTGTCTCACCTACATGGGCCAAATAAAGTGATCAGAAGCACTTTTGATACTTGTCCAAGGGTTGAATTTTGCTGATCTCGAGTTTCAGAAAAGTCCTTTGGTTCTTCTTACCTTTCTTTTCATTAAACTGGTAAAACTTAGGCATCCTAAGGAGAACATGAATCTTAGGTTCCATTTCTGGTTTAAGAGATTCTCAACGCCTTCCTCATAAGGGAAGTACAGTTGACTCTTGAACAACACAGATTTGAACAAGGTGGGGTCCACTTACACAGATTCTTCTATCTGTATTCTGCATTCACATACCCAACCAACCTAAGACGCCAGCTGATTGAATCCCTGGGTGTAAAACTACCTTATTCAGCAAACCAACTAGCTATAAATTATGTAGAGATTTTAGATTGCATGGGGCAACACCCCTTTCCCTTGCGTTGTTTAAGAGTCAACTACAATTCTAATTAGTCCTGTTTCACATGCCTCTAAAACTTTAAAAGAAAACCATGGAAAGGAAAGAGAAATCAATTGAAGGGCAATAGCATTTCCTATATTAGCTTAGGTTGTCCATAGCGCTTGAAGTTAAAATCATTTCCAGCACCCATGTCACGTGATGTAGACTCACACACCGAGGAACTAAGATGCAATGAAGACTGTTTGACATCTTCATTTCAGGTTTTAGGAGAAAGTATGCCAAAGAAAACTGATCGGAGGCTAAGGTGACTGTCAAGGAACTTAGGAAACTGGTCAACAGAGAGACATTTAAAGGAAGAAAGGCCACTAATCAAAGAATAGTCTGAAGGACTGAAAACAAATGGTAGGTAGAGCCAAGAATTCTTTTTGGTAATTATAGCGGGGCAGTTTACTTGAGCTGATGCAACAATATGAGGGTGATCACAGGGAATGAGGAAGGAATTTCTAGGATAGCAATGAAAACATGAGCACTAGGTCTTAGATATTTCATCATCTCTTCATATTATAAAACTCTAGCATCCAACAAATACCTGTTGAATGAATCCTCAGGAAGGTAATCACACCGTGTGCATAAATTCCTTTATTGAAAATATTGGGATAGCACTGCATTACATATATTTAGTATCCATAAATGAAGGGCCACACATTTATGATAGGACAATACTGTTTTAAATAGAGAACACAGCATTGGGATATGCTCTCACAAGTATATCATCATGGACTAAACTAGGTAAGAGTGAACTATATGCAAAATGACCATTTTGTTTATTAATTGCATATGGTTGCAAATGATATAAATAGTAAACATGATCACCATGAGACATTCCTGATATCTCACAACAACACATTACTCAACAAGCAGATTAAGGTCAAAAACCGCAGGTATGTTGTTCATCAAGAGTTCTCAGTAAGTGAACTTGGGTGAAAGCACACCCAGGCTACAGATTTACAATTTTTAGCATCATTTAAACTTGCATGAAATGTGAATGGAGTAAAATAATCATTGATTCTGATAGGAGGTCACTTGGAAATTTGTTCTTCCTTAGAGTCATTTTTGAAAAAGAAGACTCTCAAGGAAATAAGAACTTTTATTGTTAATGCAGGTATACAAATACTTAGTATTAAGCTTTCCTTTCACAGATCACTAAGAGACACTTCTTAGCTTTGGCTCTTGTTTGAAAATTTTTTCCATTGAGTCTTTGGCTTTCATAAAAGTCTGACAATCAGTAATATTTGTTATTTTTTAACAGACTTTCTTATTATTTTTAAGAAATGTTTTATGATGTGGAAATGGGTTGATGTTAAAAAAAATTTCCCCCCAAATTTTGGTATGAATGCATTTCTTTTCATTGCTTTTCTCCAATAGTAGAGTCAGGAACCAAGATAACTTGATGTTTTTCATTTGATATAATATATGTAGAAATTAAAACACCCAGATCCTTTTAAAACAGAGGCCTGTTTGCTAATGTAAAAACTGGGGGAAATGCACTGACACCATGAATATAAGGTTTTTGTTATGAACATACATGAGTTTAAAAGAAGCAAAATATATTTTTTTAAAAGCAGGATATGTCCTAAGTTGCGTTCATAAACATATTTGCTTTTGTAAATACCAACTTAAGATAGTGAGAAATGGCTTGTTCTTTTTTACAGGATGATGTCCCTAATAAGTAACTAAAAATGTATCTTTTTAACGACTCATTGGGAAACCAGTCTAGCAAAAGTCAAATCAATGAACATGGGTAATGAATTTTTAAAAATTCAGAATTATGCATATATAGATAGATTGATATACTACTTAAGACCTGTTACCCTAAACAATCAGGGCAAAAAAAAATTCAATATAAAATTATATAAATCAAATGGATTTGTTGTCAAAACATAGCACATGTGTACATGTATTTCAAGATTTGACACATTAAAAGAAAAAAAAACTGCCAACACATTTCAGACAACATACTAGAAGTAATAAATAAGATCTTTTTTTAAAAAAAAAATCATTTATTCCCTGTAAGTGCTATGCACCTTCGATTTTTCTAAATGAAACTAACCTTTCCATGGCGAACAACAGTATACTGTACATTTTGGTAATGAAAATTATGTTGATAAATACACAAGGCATGTATATATTTCCACAGTATCTTTTTTTCACAGTTACCAAAAATAAAAATTGCATTCAACTAATACATCTATAAATACTCTGACCCCTCACTGAATGGATTTGAAGGAAGTGGCGTATAAGGTTTTCAACAATCTGGACTTCAACCTCCAGTGTCCGCCCTCCACATGTGCCCTTCAGAATCTCTCTGCAGTATGGTCATGCGCTGAGGTGGTGGCAGAAAGCTCGATGAAGGGATGAGGCCGTCTGGGCTGAAGTTTCATCTTCCAGCCAGTTTTAGAAAGGCTGGTAGAACCCAGTATTTTTCATGTTTTATTTTAAGGCAGTCTGAATTTCACTCGAATGTCCATACCTCAAGGTCCTGAACTATGAAGTCTTCCTTTTTGGAAAGAATATCATTATTGAAAGTGCTGCAGGAATTGCTTCGTCCATGGTATAAATCAGCATCCAGCCACAAACCAAACCGTCCCCTGAAAAGTTTAAAAAACAAAGAGGTGAAAATACAATCAATCTTATGTGACACTTGCTGTCCTTCTTCACCCCATCTTCTTTCCTTTATGCTACAAGCTCTAAACTGCTGGAAAACCAAGGGTACATTTCCTTTATTTCATTTAAATGTCTGGTCCTTCTAAAAAGACAAGTGGTAATAATCCCTCATGTAGACACACAAATAAATCATTTTGTTTTTGGTTCTTAGTGTCATGTGTTAGGCTATGGTCCTAACTAATAGAAACACACAGACTAGTTAAAATCACCTGACGCCAAGATTTTGGTTACCTAGGTCAAAATAGACACATTCTAGTAACTTAACAACAAGAACCTTACCCTCCGCCACCAAGTTCTAAGGAACTTATGTCTCCATTGATAAAGTATGAGTTTTCTCCACTCCACTTAAAGACCTGTGGGCAGAAACAAAAGAGAATAAATATTTTTATCTGGAGAACTAGCAAGGAGGGAGTATCAGAAAAGAACTATTGGCTGAGGGAGCAACCAACTCCAGAATATTGCCTCACCAGGATGAGATCCCAAAGGAGTAATAAAATGGGAAAGACCTTTCAAGCACATGTCAGTTTTGACCTAAAACCTCTCCCTGAATCCCAGACCATAAAGAGTTTCTCCCAGACCCAGGCAGAATCCCCAAGAAGTGCGTGTGCCCCAGCCATAAAGTGCTGGGAGAGTCCAGATGAGGCTATGGGCCAGCTGCGCTCCAGCAACCCCCCCGCCCCCCCCCCACAGGACTAAAACTGCGATACCAAGAAACCAAACAGATATTTTTACATTAGGTACCTTGAAATTAGGGCTAAAAGTGTAGAGAAAAGTTTCGCCTGTTCCATAATAGTGGTCACTAAACTTGAAAGGATGCGTTGCATATGCTCCAAAAATCTGTCAAAAACCAAAAACCAGAAGTGTTTATCTACTTTTAAACCTAAGCCTTTCCCCAAAAAGGTTTCCGAAATATTTTTACACAATAAACCAAGTTAGAATAAAAAGAAAGATAAATAAAACATCCCAGCTCTAATTGCACAATACACTTGTCTGTCAAAGGACAACTGTTCTACTTGAAAGATGTTCAAAGTTCACTACAAAAACACATTTACTTTAATAAATATATATGATACATTTTAAAGATTCAACAATAACAAGATACATCTTTTACACAGAAGTGAGTTATTGGGAGAATAAAGTCTTGTCTTGTGTTTTATAAATGGAATCATGGATCAACATTTTTCCAAAGACATGAAAGGACTTCTAAGTCCAAAGACTTATTACTTATGAAAATGAGCTCTTAATGTGTTTACTAAAACTAACTTTAACATGATTCACCTAATATATCTTAGCTTGAAATAGCATAAAAAAAATAATTCAGGTCCTCCCTGGTGGCACAACAGGTTTAGGATGCAGCACTGCAAGCTAGCACAGCCACTTCAGTGCGAGTTCTATCCTCAACCCAGGAGCTGACCCACATGGCACAGCAGACCTCTCCTGCCTCACCCACTGCTCCCCTCAGCAGTGTACTTCATCATTCTGCATGTTCTGCTCCTCACTCTATCTCTGGTGAATCCTCTCACCGCCCCTGCACCTCTGGCCTGTACCCCAATTCTGTATGTATAAGTAATAAATATTTTTTAAAAATTCTATATTCCTATGGTTTTATATGTGATTTTCTAAGGCAGTTTGAGGAAAGCTCAAAACTCTTCTGATCTGTCTCTTCCCCTGCAACAAGACAAGGGGGCTCTGTTCTGGAATTGGGGTTGGACAGTGGCTGCTTCTTTCAGAGGAAACATCTTGCTTTATAAGCAGGAACCAGTCAAGGGTAAAGGCAGCTAGCTAGTCTAGGTCACCTCATGTGACATGGAACTTCTGTCCATGGGCAGTATAGACCCCTTGTTCTCAGTCTGCTATGTTTAAGTTAAGTATCTGCCCTTGTGCAGGGACTGTGTGGAGAAACAGAGCCCGCCTCTCTGCCACCATTACCTGGAATTGGCCACAGATACTGGGCAGGGGGAAGAAGTGCTGGGTGCAGGCTCTTTAGAAGAGGTATGTCATAGCACCTGCTTGGAGCTAGGGAGAAAGGAGGTTCCATCTTCTTGTCTACAGGTGCCTAAAGAGGGCAGCACCATCAATCTGGAGGTGGAGGGAGGTGTAGTAGGTTGGGACTCCAGTGCCACAGAACCGCACCATTATTACACAAATTTGTTTGATGTTACTGAATAAATGTTTCTTTTTGTATGCCCTTGGGACAATTTCCAAAGACATTAAGTGATTATTGTTTCTATAATTTCCACTAGTTATGGTTGTTTCAATGATTCTGCAGCATTCCTCATTGCTGTTATTTTGTGTATGTAATATTTTTATGTTAGAATTTTATATGACTCATTTTCAGATAAATTTACAAACATGTTCTATCATGTCTTAAACACAGGAAAAGCTGCATTCTTGTCTTGGGGGCTCACTGGGTGGAGAAAGGGGGGTTACCATCCAGGTGTCTTCAAGCAACATAAGTGCCTCCAGGGGAAGAGATTCAGGAAAACTCTAGTCCTGACAGAGCATAACCTACAGCTGTGGCCCTCCTTGACATCCTGACAGGATGTTGGATCAGACTGTGCTTCAATACCTACTCTCTGCAGCCCCCACATGTCCCGAGCTTGATATATTTCGTAAGTGAGCAGGAAAACGAATCTCTCATCATGATGAGGACTTGCGAATGGTTTAAACCCATCCAGTCACATCTCATCTAAAAGTTAGCCCCCATCTCACACATTGCACTAAATCCCTAAGTAATTTCATCTTAAACCTTCGTTACGTTTTAATTTTTAACTTGACTCTCCTCAGTCAGCTGGGATCATTATTTTTTTTTTAAGATTTATTTATTTATGCATACAGAGCTCAGGTACAGGCCAGAGGTGCAGAGGTGGTGAGAGGATTCATCAGAAACGAGTGGGGAGCAGAACAGACCAACTGACGAAGTACACTGCTGAGGGGAGCAGCGGGCAGGTCAGGAGAGGTCACCCAGGGGCCAGGGATTAAATTCATGCTGAAGTGGCTTTAGCTTCTCAGTGCTGTGTCTTAACCCGCTGTGCCACCAAGGTGGGCCCTCAGCTGACAACATTATTAAGTAAAATATTACCAATCAGGATGTAATCAAAGTAATAATAATAACTAATACTCTTAAAGACAGTTACACTGTCTCAGGGAGGATCGCCGTTGAGAAGGACAGTGTCTTCTTTATCCTCATCCCCCTGTTAATTTTTCCTAGGAAAATTATGACAGCAAAGACTGATCTTTCTAAATCGGTCCCAAGCCTATGACTTCACAGTCAAGTTTTACAGTGTTTAATCATGCCCCATTCTTAACAGGCATTCATTTACACATTCACTTCAGTGGGCTAATAGATACTGTTTCCTGGCCAGGAAGAATGACATCTACATCTTAACATGTTAAGTATATGTGGCAACATCTTGCTAAGTCTGGAATCTGAATGATGGAATTCATTGTACCTATCTCTCCACTGTTGTGCAGATTTCTAAAAACATTATATTATTTTAAAACATTATGCATAAAGAGCTGGGGTACAGGTCAGAGGTGTGCAGGCTGAGAGGATTCACAAGAGACAGAGTGGGAACAGAACAGGCAGAAATACACTGCTGAGGGGAGCAGCAGGTGAAATAGGAGAGGTCTGCTGAGCCATGTGGGTCACCTCCCTGGCAGGGAATCAAACTCATGCTGCAGTGGCTGCTGATAGCTTCATTGTGCTGAGACTTAACCCCTTGCGCCATCAAGGAGGCCCTGCTGTACAGATTTAGAATCTTCACTGAAAAGTGTTTTCTATGACAGGGACAAGCCTTACCTGATTATCCATATCTTTGATGACCAATAGGACCGGGCTGTCCAGAGATGCTGACTTCCGGTACAGGGTTTTCAAGCTGGTCCCGTGCTCTAATGTGCTATATGCGAGTCTCCATGGATACCCTTGTACCCTTGCTGGAAGGCGCCGTGCCAGCTGTGGAGCCAGAGCCAGAGATGTAAATTTGTGGTGTGCCCACAATCACTCATGAACTTGCAACACAAAATAAGTTGGCTTAAACAAAATCACACATGTGGAGTGTTCCCTTTTATACTGGCAAATGCTTGCTTCTCTGAACCAAGAAAGAGAAGGAAAAGTCACTGCCTGACAGTGTTTACTTTGACAGAGATGCTGCCCAGGGTACGTGTTTCCTTCCCCTCCAGGACCTGACTATGCTACTATCCATTTGAGGATACAGCATATGGTTTGATAAAGAGGTATGGGACACATGCTGTCCCCTTCACGCTTCAACCTGACTTTCACCAAACAGTTCCTGTTTCTCTAGTTGTTCTTTCTAAAGCCTGGTAGACTCAAGAGGTGCTACTGACAACTGCAGCTCCCTACACAAGTGACAGCAAGAAAACAAGTGTTTATGCTTCTAGTGAGGTACAGTCTGCCCTCACCTACATCCATGGTTAACTGACTCTTGGCTGCCATTTCTAATTATAGAAATGCATCTCTCTTCAAAACTTTTAAGGAAGGAAGCAATGGTATGAAGCCTTCCGAATGCTTAACTTATAGTACCAGCATAACTTTGTCTCTGTAACTGCTCAGTCTAATCTCTTTACTTTCCTGGGCCTTCACTCATTTGTCAATTGAGGGAGGTTAACGTGATGAAATTCAATTTTCCTGAATAATTAAAAAATAGAAATTCAGGCTTTTTAGCTGGTGGATCCCCAAGAGATTCCATTATAACATTTCATAAAATTAAAGTGATAGTTTCACAAAAATATGAAGCACACAAAGGAAATTACATAAAATGGGATTTTTTTTTCGAGTGCTAGATGGTTGTTATTAAGTAAATTGAATGTGTTAGGGCTCTTATTGAACCCCATAAATGGAAGCCACTAAAACTCTACAATAATCAGTAGGAAAAAATTGCAATTATGTTATACCTATGGTGAGACACTTTAAACATTGTTTTTAAGACAAGAAATGACTTTTCATTCAGGGTTGGGAAGGATGACCCACTCCTTGCCTTCCCAAGAAGGCCACACAAAGGGCCTGCAGACAAAGGGATACCAGACTTGGTTAGGTGCTGAGTGTTCTTCCTTGAAACTTTGCTCGTCATTCACTCTCAGCAGGAAAAAGCTGCTCTAGGCCCCTGAGTCCTCTCTCCTACCTCGCCCGGGAGACCCCACCTGCTCTATGTGCATGTTCTCCAGAAGCGCACTGTGGGGCTGCAGGGTCGGCAGGGCCTCCTCATCGTCATCTTCATAGTAGCTGCACGTGCTCTTCCTACGCTTTGCCTCCTCAACTGTGATGATCTGAAGGACAAAGAAACAAAGGAGAAGCATGCATTGTGTTACCTTCACACAGAAAGGACCTCATAACCACAACCGCCTGGAGGTAGAATTTTAGCAGCAAGACCTAAATTGAACTGGGACTTTTAGAAAAAAAAAAGAGCTCGTTTTTCAAGTTTAGAACGTACGCAGAATTTAACATAGTACAGCTGAGGTGCTTCACCTGCACAAGTTAAAGTTGCAAGTTCTCCACTTTTACTCTTGCTGCCAATTGCTGCCTCAGAGTAAGAATTAACGTGTAACTCCACAAGTAACCTATAACCTCAAAATACCTTAAATTAAGCTCCTTTAGCCTGCGTCTAAATCTGAATTGTTAGAGAAAATGACTAACCAGAGATCATTCTGTAAGTCTTCTGTAAATGAGAAGAGAACAGCTTTTTAATTAAGACTTCTAATATTTTCTCTCTACGTTGTACAAATAGCAACCTGCACGCATAGAAATGACATGGTAACAGCTACCAGGAGCAACAGTCCAGAGAGAAAGTATAAGTCAAAATTACAATTAGGTTAGCATCCTCTATGTACAGTTCAGAGACCTTAGTTTTTCCTTCAAAGCTGAGAAACATGTTTCTTTATATTATTATTATTATTTCATTATAAATTACATTCATAAATAACCTAAGTCAATTTCACCTTAAAAATCTATTTTTATCCCACCTGAAGTCTGGATAATTCACTAAATTATTTTAAATCGAAGGATATATATACATAAGGTGAATAATTTATCAAATTTTCTGAGTATCAGTATTAATGACTTTTGCATCACGGAAAACAAAATATTTAAGTGACATGTAACAAAAACTGTCAGAAAACACACTACTCAAATTTTCAAAATGCACAGAGGTAGACATAAATCTGTCATCTGCACTAACTTGTCTGAGGTGGATAGACAGCTAGGGAAATTAGCCTATAAATTTTATTATCTTTTCAGGACATAAATTACATAAATAAAATACTATAAAAGAATCATAAATCCAGCATTTAAAAAAGCACATATTTTTGGCGTTTCTACCTTTAACTGATGTACAAATGAGGCTGTGGAAGGAAACAAATACAAATCTGATTCCAAGGGAAAGGGGCAAACCACACCATATTCACCCCCAACATAAATACCTGTTACTATTGAAATGCCAGCCCAATCCTGCCAATCTTAGACATGCTTTCAAAGCACACTGAGTAGAAATCTCTGAAGCTTCACAGGCACCTGGCTAACTCTCCCGGACTCCAACTCACCTTCACAAAAGGCTCTTGGTCCGGTCTGGCACAATAGAAAATCTGAATGTCCAGGGGCAATCTGCGGACTCTCATGGTGCGTGTGCAGTCTACTCGCGCTCTAATGAGGAACAGGTTTCCTGACTATCTGCCTCCACACCACGCTTATTTGTAGCCACGCTGAGCTACAACTGTTTTTGCTGTCTCTAGTTTCCTGCATGATTAAGTTTCTGTTTCCCTTAGGAGAGAGTTCAGCATTTCTCCAGGAACACACCCAAATTAGGATTTAGAGCAAACACTTCCTGTCACGGTTAGCAGTGAGGCTGTAAAACGACACTTTCACCTTTGAACGGTAGTTTCCTAATAGTACAACAAAACCCTATTGTTCAGATTTTTCTTTTTTCTTTTTACACTTTTCTTCCTATTTGTCCTCTGGCTAAGCTGGCGTTTCTGGCCCAGTCTTTTCTGAAATTGTACAGTGTCTCCAAAGTTACACCTCCAATTTATTATTTTTTAAGATTTATTTATTTATGCACACAATAACTGGAGTACACGCCAGTGGTGCAGGGGTGGGCGTGGGGGGGAGGGGTGAGAGGATTCACCAGAGATAGAGTAGGGAGCAGAACAGGCAGATCGAATGAAATACACTATTGAGGGGAGCACATGGCAGGACAGGATAGGTCTGCTGCACCATGTGGGTCAGCTCTCTAGCAAGGGATGGAACTTGTGCTGTAATGGCTGCAACTAGCTTCATAGTGCTGGGCTTTAACCCTTGTGCCACCAGAGAGGGCCTGACCCTCCATTTTAAATTAATATTCCTGAATCTCACAGCAAAGAGGAAAAGAAGCCTTTACTAGAGGTGGAGGTACATTCACTACTCTGAGAACAAAGGCATTTCACTGCAGTCCCATGTCAAGTGTGAGGGACTTAAAGAATGGGAGAACACTGGGTTTACTTGAAACTGAGAAAAATGTTATTTTAGGTGACATTTTTTAAACAGCCAAACAGTTATACTTTCTTGCCTTTTAGAATGTTAATCTTAATGACTCAGAAGGATGATGAGTTCTCTACTCCCCAGATCAGATGTCAGGGAGTTGGAAAGAAACACAAATCACCATTGGATCAATTTTCAGTGATCCTTCTGTGACTTTTCCAGATCCAAATGGCCTTTTGTTCCCAGGGGCTGTTGAGTGGACTAGGGTGCAATTCAGAGCTTCTCCTCGGGGGTGAGTTACAAAGAGGGCTTTGGAAGGTACTTAGTGACTAATCCTAGGTCAGCCAGAATTTATTCTCAATGCAAGCACCCAGACACAGTTTGGGCCAAAGGACCATTCCTTCCCATACTTGACACTTCATGGCAGCTATTTAAGTGCATTCAGTATGATGGTGAGTGCCAGGTGCTTGAAACAAAGCAGCCTGTGGTCTTGAGTGGGTGAGAGAAGAGTAGAGTCATTTCTGAATAAATGAATGTCATTCCCTGTGACACAAGTGCTCACAGTGGGGCTACCTCGGGAATTCTGAGATGGACTGGAGGTGTGGGATGAGAGCAGATGGTAGGTATTGGGGAGACAGCTCAGTGAGCATAACAGGAACACAGACATAGTCTATGTTCTAACCTTCCCATGGCTTGGATAGAGAAAAAGGGAAGTAGAGACAAAGCAGAGAGGTTGGGAGTGAGAAAGTATAGAGGAAAATGAAGAATTCCTCAAAATCACCTAGGAGACTTTAAATGTACAGATTCTAATATTTTCCTGCTAGGCTTACTGAATTAACCTCTATCACGATGTGGGTCTAACATTTAGTTTAAAAAGATTTCCAGGGCCCTCCCTGGTGGTACAGAGGGTTAGGGTGTAGCACTGTAAGCTAGCTGCAGCTGCTTCAATACGAGTTCAATCCCCAGTCCTGGAGATGACCCACATGGTGCAGCAGACCTCTCCTGTCTTGCCTGCTGCTCCCCTCAGCAGTGTACTTCATCAATCTGTCTATTCTGCTCCCCGCTCTGTCTCTGGTGAATCCTCTCACCCCCGGCACCTCTGGCCTGTACCCCAGTTCTGAATAATAAATAAATACATCTTTAAGGAAAAAAAAAGAAAATGACTAATGTGATCAATGGCAGCTGCTGAGTATTTAAATAAGGAAGCATATGATCACACTTCTGTACTTAAACATGATAAAAACAATAAATTTGTATAGTACTTTTAAATATGATGAAGGGAATATTATAAATCACTAAATAGTGCTAAAATTATTAAAATATTACCTATCACATATCAATTTATCAATTATAGATTGTGTGAAATTTATACTGCAAGGCCACCTGTATATGCAAGCATGGCAAGAAAATGTCATAAAGGAAAACTGTAAGTAAAAGACAAAAAATAGGAAAAGGCTGTCAAAAATACAAGAGACAAAGAGCTGATATCTTTAATCACAAAAAGCACAAACAATGTAAATGAAACTATGTAGGTTCCTTTAGGAAATGGGCAAAGGAAATGAGTGGGCATCAAAAAGGAGGAAAAGAAAAGCAATATGTACACACACATACTGTCCATAACAGCAATGAAGGAAACAAATTAGAATATATCTCAGCTTCCTACTAACAAGCATTTTTAGAAAGGAATAACAACAGTATGGTATTGTGGGCATTCGTCACACTGCCAGCAAGCTGAGTTGGCATTATTTAAAAACAAAGTACCCAATACCAACTACCTTCACTTTCAGGAAACTAAAAATTGCGAATCATTGCATCCTTGTGAAAAACTTGGACCAAGACAACTATTCCCAAAAGTGGAGAATTGCTAAATTATAATAAAGATTAAAAATATCATGTAATCATTCAAAAAGAGGCTTACATTATTCTTCATTTTGTACATTTTTTCCATCTCAGATATATACATAAGAAAAATATGTATGTGTAAGGGAGAGAAGGGTGTAATTAAAAAAAATTAAAATTAAAAAATATATGCAAAAAAAAGAAAAGAGGCTTAAAAACTTTTATACAATTCTCAAATATATCAAGCAAGGGAAGTCATATACAAAATAATATGTAGAATATAAATACATTTTGCAAACATGAAATTCAAAACTCAACAACCCCCACCACCGTCCCACCTGGAGAGCACCTTAAAAAGAGAAAAAGAGTCAAAAGAATTGTGTAAAAGTGTTAAATGTGCTTAGGTATTACTTTAAAATTTTCTGATTATTCTTTTCTGTGGTTATCAGATTTCAATAGGAGGCAAGTGCTACTTCTATAAAGTTAGAAAATAAAGCTGATTTAAAGAGCTTGCACATGGGACAATGACTTGCTGGGCAGGTTTAGGACCTCCAGATATGTCCTTGGGAATTCAATTAAAGGATGCAGACAGGCTGAGTAGGGCGGGGGTGGTAGAGGGAAGTGGAGGTCCCTGCATCCCCCAAATTAAAATCAACAAGACTCTTATCGGAGATGACTGGCTAGATGTGTTGGTGAAGAATAGAAACAGGTAATGTCCAGGTTTCTGGCTTGGAACACCACTCAGGAGGATGGGAAGACAGAAGGAGAGGCACTTTTAGGGAAAGATAATGAGTTGATTTAGACCTTCTGAGAATCAGTCATACTTGTTATCTTCTAGGGCCCTGTAAGTTTCCTCTTCCCCACCCACAGAGGAGGAGCAATGTTGCTGTTGTGGCTTGACTTTAAGGCAATGCTTGTAAGCATTATACTCGCCGCAGTTTGGACTCTTTTCTTCAGTGTGGAAAGAAAGAAGGGATAAGGTGGCCTCGACAGTCCAATCATGCTCTCTCTAGTTTTCTTTATAGATGCTCCCAGTGTCAACAAGAATCCTAGGGGCTTTAGCAAACCAACCCATTTCTCCATCCTTTCCATTCTGTTGGCCTCCTAATCCACCACAGATCCAGAGACGCCTGCTGGAGAGCTTAGTCCTTTCCTTCTTTCTCAGGGCCTGGGTCACAGGCATTCTGGGGTGGCCTGTCCACGCACACTTGACCCTGAAGCTGCCCTTTCTCTTGCTGCATGTTTCTGCTTACTTTCTATTAGTTCCTCAAATGCCCCCAGGCTCTCTATTTCTTCTTGGGTCTCTCCACAGATTTTTCTCTCTCACAGAAGTTTTCAATTGGCACTACGAGCCCAACTACCTATACTCCCGCGTTTTGTGCTCTCAACACAGCTCTCTCCTGGGCGACTCTCCTTGCTCTTCCTGGCTGGGCGCAGGCCCTGGCCACCAGAGGCTCTTGCGCTTGGCAGCACTTCTCCTGCAAAGGCAATTACCTCTTTAGAATGTAATGATTTATCTAAACTTCTTGATGCTAAATGCTACTTCACTCACCTGCTGTGCCCCTAGCATGGGAAGGGCTGGGTAAGTGCTCTAAAATAAGGGAGTGTTTTGCAGATCAAATTTTGAAGCCGTAATTTATTCCTGTATATCAAGGGAGCCCAGAGCTGTTTTTAAAAATGAAAACAATATATTCTGAGGTTGGGGACCATCTTTACAGTGCCTGCCACGGATCCAAGACACCTACTTAGCATCTAGCATTTAGTTGGTGCTCAAATAGTCACTGAATGAATAGTCTTTTTAGAAGATAACTCCAGCTAAGTTGTGGTGAATGGATTGTGCTGGGAAGGCTCAATGTGGTGAAATCAGTCAGATGTAAAAACGTAAAAGCAAGTAAAGCTGTGTCAGCAAGGAAGGATTATAGAACCAATCCCGGGGAATGAAGTGAAGAAGAGGGAAAAAAAGAGCAGATGATGATGCAAATCTTTCCAGTTTGGGTTATAGGGAAATGGAAACATAAACCACAATGAAGACTTCCGGGGAGGCGGGGAATAGAACCATGGAGAGAGGTGAGGGAAGCCGATAAATGCCTGAAAATGGTCAGCATTCAGGTAGTCACTGAGCACAGGAGATAATGTGAAATTATCTAAGGATGACAGGCTAGAACATGAGAAGAAGCTTGGGAGAATTCATGTAAGAAGACATGTCTGGAGGAGAAAAACATGAAACATGAATACAATCTCTGGGAGAGAAAACCATGTAAGAGGGGTAAGGCAAAGACAAGGGAGGGAGCAGAAAGATATACAGAAAGTGAAGTCAAGTTGAGCATGGTGTGTGCAAGTTAAGGGAAAAGAGCTTAAGAGCTTGAGGGACAGCTCAAGGGGATTCATGCAGCAGGAAGAGAGTGAGAAGGAGGTCTATGGTGCCTGGAGGGGGTGATTTCCATGGTAACTGGAAAACATGCTGGCTTGCAGGTTGGCACAAGGGCAGTTGAGAAACTGGAAGCATAGAGTACGATCCAAATTTTTTAAGACGTTTGATGCTGAGAGAAAGGAGGGTGATAAATGAGAACCTAGAGAGAAATTAGGGTGAATATGTTTCCCCTTTATTTTTATTTTCTTCCTTTAAAATTTTTTAAAATATTTTAACAAAAGAGAAGACCCAGAAGGGAGAGAGCAACGACAAAGAAATGGACTGCTATTACTGATAAAACAAGAATAAGAAAAGAATGATCCTTCCTCTGGGCCCAAAATAAATGGTACAATAATAGGTACGTTAGAAACAGCAAAGGGGGAAAGTGAGAGAAATCTTATCCAATGGCACCCTCTTGGTGAAATAAAGGAGAAAATCACATCTGGGATTGATGGAAGATGAAGTGGGCTACACAGTTTAAGAAGAGTTAAGGCGAAAGAAAAGAGAGGTGGGCAGGGACAAGTAAGGGATCTCTAATCATGGATAGGCCCAGGATTCAGAAATCATGTAGTTGCAATGGTATTGTTCTCCCTGGTAGAAAGGTTTTTGTCCAGCAATACTTGGGTTCCTAAGAGCAGAAAAAATGTGAGGGTGTATTCACCTGGGATTGCAGGCTGACTAGATTGCAGTGAATGGGTTAAGAACAGAGAAACTCATGAGTCCTGGCAGGGGTGTCCCTGAGTCATTATAGCCACCTGTCCCACGGGGAAAGGAGAAAGTCTATGTGGAGTCCAGGAGTGAGGCAGAACAGGAAGGAGTCAAGATATCAGGTGCTCAAATCCATAGGGACATTTACCAGCCTCTACATAAGCTCTTCTGTAAGATTATTAAGCATGGAGTGCTTGATACAGGGTTACCTCATTGTATGGAGAGAACAGTTATAATCCAAAGGATAAAAGTCTATGTCTATCAGCTACATCCAGCCACCATCTGTGTAAGATGGTATATGAGCTAAGATTGTGTTTTATATTTTCAGGTGGTTGCAAAAAATTTCCAATGAATAGTATTTTGACACATTATAACTATATGAAGTGAAGTGCAGCCATGGTCATTTGTTAATGTTTATTGCGGGTATTTTGGTTCTACAATGGCAGAGTTGAGTAGAGGTGACAGAAACAATGGCCCAAAAAGCCAGAAAAAGTTTGCTGACCTCTGACCTAAGGCATGGAGTGATGAGTGAGAATATAAGTGGATCTGTTTAGAAGTCCCAGTGCCTGTATGTGTTGGTATGCACTGTGGTGCTGCTGGTGGAGTCTGACACACAAAACTAGTTTCTGACAGAGCAAGAAAGACACTTTCCTCTGTAACTTCAAAGGTTCACAGAGAGTCTGACTTGTTTCAGCCAGTCACTCAGATCCGGACAAGAGTATTTGAAGGGATCCTGTCTTTTAAGGTTCGTGACAGTTTATTCCCCTCTTCTGCTCACCTCCCAGCTCTTAGTGGTCGGCTCACTGAAGAAGTTGTCGATCATATTCAGTTCTTCCTTTTCCACCACCACAAAGCCTTGCTCTTTGGCATCTTTCCCATAGACATCAGGAGACCATTGAACAAAGAACGTGTACAAATGATCCACCCTGAAAAACACATTCGTCAGAGGAGTTACCACCAAATCCACTTTCCTGGCAGGCACTGGGAGCGACCTGGGCATGTAACCTATCCCTTTTCAGCTTGGCAAATCCATTTTGCTAATTGGGAAGGTTGCCAGTACGGAGATGATCTCTACTATTGTATTCCAAACTTAAAATAAATCAACAGATGAAAGCGGAAGTCCACAGACACCAAGAAACTATCTCCAATCTGAGGAAAAGAATGAGAGACGGGATATAAAATAACAAACACAATGACATATTTACATCAAATGTTTCTCACTGGGCCTTACTTGACTTTATTTTCACCTGTACTCATTAGGAAAAAACTGACCTGAAGCTAGTGGCAAATGAAAATATACAGTATTCCAATGGGTCATTGGTGAGATCGATGCGCTATCAAGACTTTAGTAAAACATTAGAAAGAGACCTAATTTTACTGACATGGGGATATAGTTTACTTCCAGTTTCTCTGTTTTCTTTTATAAATTAAACATCTCCAGATTCCAAAGCATCTTTCCAGACTTTTTCAATCGACACTTGCTAGGTTTTGAGAATAGAATAGAAGCTCTGGGTCCCAGAACCTGTAATATCCCTCCAGGTGTCAGGAGCACACCTCTCACCTTGGGTCTTACACCTGCAACCACTACGGCAGGGGACAGGCTGGGAGACTGGATTAAATGATGCTTTCCCAGCTACAAAATGATAACGCTAACAACTATTGTTTGAGATAATGCTAACTTATTGCTATTTTCACATATAACAAACAAATATGCCTTGACCCTGATTCAAATGAAAATTGTGTACTTACTGACAAGAACCTACATGTCTATGGAAACGAAGAAAAGCATTTTGACCCACTGGAATATCAGAATTGTAGGTGATATTTCTTTTTTTATTTCAATGCCATTTACATTTCAATGCCATTAACATTTGTCTTAACCTATTCAGGCTGCCAAAGCAAAATACCATAGGTTGGGTGGCATGTAAACAATAGGAATTATAATAGTAGTTATAATTACTTAAAATGTTATAACAATATTACCGCAACCTGAATGTTTCTATACCCTCCTCCCCCCGCCCAAAAAAAAAAATTCAGAATAGAAATTTAGACCTCATCACAGTGGTATCTGGAGTTAGGTCATGATGGTGAGGTCCTTATGACTGCTATTAAGACCCTATATGAGTGTTCATTAGCTCTCTTCCCAAGGACATGGTGAAAAGACAGACATCTATAAACCAGATGCTGGCTTTCACTAGAACTAGAAAATAAATCTGCCAACAGCTTAATCTTGGACTTCCCAGTCTCCAGAACTGTAAGAAAGTAATTCCTATTGTTTAAGTGCCACCCAATCTATGTTATTTTGTTTTAGCAGCCTGAATAGACTAAGATAAATGTTAATGGCACTGAAATAAAAATGAAATGTCACCTATAATTCTGACATTACAATGGATCAAAATGTTTTGTTGTTTCCTTAGGCATGTAGGTTCTTGTCACTGAGTATACAATTTTCTTTTTATTTTAATCATGGTCAAGACATATTTGTCTGTTACACATATATTAAATATTGTACTTTGGCCATGTTGCTCATCTTTGTACTGTTTTTTAATTAACACATTGCATGAAAATAATAACCAAAATTAGCGTGGATATTGATCTTGTTTGCTTATACAAATAATGTTACAATGAACATCTTCAATGTCTTTTACCTTGAATTATTTTCTGGAGACTAGTTCCCAGAAAAGGGATTAGTGGGCCAAAGGGCATGATTTTATAGTTTGTGATTCATCCTGACAAACAGCTTTTGAAACTGACTAGCTTACTCTGATACCAGCATTATAGCTTGGGTGTGTTTTGTAACAATCTTATTTCTTCTTTAAAAAAATAAGTTTTACCTGCATTATTATTCATTTCTTTGAATTTTAGTGGGTTTTTTTTCTCAGATGTTGTTCCCAGCTGCAGCTTTCTTTTTATAGGCTGGCTCTTTGTGATTAGGGACTCACCATTTATCTTTTCAATAGTGGGAGTCTTCAAATAATGTACCATTAGCCTCTACCACATGTGTTTCTAAGCTGCGATTTTCCTTTTTATCTTAACCATGTCTTCTATATTACGGAACTGCCAATTTTCATATACTTAAAAGTATATTTACTTTGAGGTTCCTCTACTACCCAAGAGCCTGGAAAGCTGTCACCCAAGACAAGGTACATATATCAGCATGCATGATGCACTACCATTTTTATTTATTAAAAATATCAATGATGGTCCTCTCTGGTGGCCCAACGGGTTAGGACACAGCACTGCAAGCTAGCACAGCCACTTCAATGCAAGTTCAATCCCCTGCCCGAAGGTGACCCACATGGCATGGCAGACCTCTCCTGGCCCGCCTGCTGCTCCCCTCAGCAGTGTGCTTCCTTGGTCTGCCTGTTCTGCTCCCCACGCTGTCTCTGGTAAATCCTCTCACTGCCCCTGTACCTCTGGCTTGCACCCCAGTTCTGCATGCATAAATAAATGAATCTTTAAAAAAATATCAATGATAATTGTACATGGATGTAATAAATTATATGTGCCAACTTAGCTAGCTTTGGCTTCCTCCCTCTGTGGACACATCCCACTGCTGTTTCAGCTCACTGGTTTTGTTGCTCTGGAGATCTTTTACTACCAAAACAGATTTCTTTGAAATCTCATTTAAAAATAGTTTGTCCTAAGGCATGAAATAGGGTGAGAGAAAGATATATTCCTCTCATACATACCTTTAAGTTATTTTCACTTTTGGAATAACTAGTACATTTTCATGGTTCAAGGATAAAAATTACACTTTTAAAGCATACTCTGGAAAGTTTCCTTCTTACACCCCTATTCACATTTGTTTCTATCTTATTTCCCTTACAGGTAATCACTTCATTAGTTTCTCATGTTTTTGTAGCTACTTAAGGCAATATACATTAATATGAATATACATTCTTTTTGCCCATTTCTACAACAGATAACACTATTCCCTAGCTTACTTTTTTCACTTAACATCATATCCTGGATCTATTTCCATATCATATATGGATGTTTTCCTCATTCTTTTCTAGCTACACGGTACTTTACTGTGTGTATTTACCGTAATTTATGTCATTCTCCTCTAGATTACATAAACTATGGACACTTGGTGTGTTTCCAAGATTATTCAGTTAAAAACGATGCTATAGTACGTAACTTCACACTGAGTCATTTCACGCGTATACAGGTAAAAGAATAGGATATATTCCCAGAAATAGAAGTGCACTGGAACAGCTCACTTACAATTTTGATACATAAGAACATACCGTCCTTTTTAGGGATGCCATCATTTTTCTTTTTTTCCCCTCCCACCAGCACTATGTATACTCATTTGAATTATTTTTATCATTTACGATGAAATTTCCTACTAAGACATTTCTTAGAAAATAATGAGCTATGCCCTCCCTGGTGCACTGCAGGTTGGTGCTGCACTGCAAAACTAAGCCATGCACTTCAGTGGCCCAACGGGTTAGGACACAGCACTGCAAGCTAGCACGGCCACTTCAGTGCGAGTTCGATCCCCGCCCCCACGGTGATCCACATGGCGTGGCAGATCTCTCCTGTTTCTTAGGTTGCTCCCCTCAGCAGAATACTTTGTCAATCTGCCTGTTTCTGCTCCCCACTCTGCCCCTGGTAAATTCTCTCACCACCTCTGCACCTTTGGTCTGTACCCCATTTCTGTATGCATAAATAAAATCTTAAAAAAAAATGCGATAAGTCACCACTCGAGAGACGTTTGGTAAATATATAATTCTAACATTTAGTTCTTTAACACTTAACATTGGGGTCACCTTAATTATATTTCACAATATAGCTGAGAAACAAACATGCTTCCTTCTAACTTCTGGAAAAGAAGATATCTCTTATGTGCATAACCACCTGTGAGAGGCTGCCTTATTGTTTATTAACTAGCATACTTAAGAGAAAGTAAAAGTAGCACCTGGCACCTGGGAGTTAATCTGGTCCTATTAGCCAGGGCCCTAGTGTTGCTAGGAGCCAGCCTTTTATTCACAGCCAGGCCCTGTAATCTCTAGTTAAACAATTTTACAGAACATCAAGTCAGAGAAGGTCGCACCATAACCATAATGAATCACAACAAAAGACTTCTGTGCGGCCTCACATCTAAGCACACATAAAAACAGTGACATTGTCCAGCCACAAAAATGACTAAACATGCCTCCAATCTGGCCAATAATATGATTGTGCTTCTTTGCCAACTATCACATTTGCCTCACTAATCTTCCCTCTTTCTGGATAATAGCTTTAGTGAAATATTCAATCACAGAATTCACTCTGCTTCCCAACAGCTTCCGTTCCACAGTAAAGTCCTTCCGGCTTCCACTCTTTCCTGAATCACCGAACACAAGCCTAAACCCTGCAGCTCCTTTCTGATAGTCTCTTACTGAGAGGGTCCATGTTCCATTGGGGTGAGTTCTCCTTCACTTCAAGGTGTCAATCCATCCACTCAGCTCCAGGTGTGTTCATGCTGGTTCTAGCACAGACATGGCTTCCGTCAAGAACCCTTTCTATGTAGCTACTGTGTGCCAGTGACCCTGAAACTTACCTTTTGGAATATGACAGCTAGAAGGGACATTGCATGTCATCTCCTCCTCCCAATATTCCTTAAATTAAGGGGGCCCTGAAATCAGCAACCTGCATCACAGTGAGGACAAGATCTGAGTTGGCAATTGGGGTCTTTTAATCACATTACAGAGTTCTCCCCCTGCTGCCTACTGATTTCTAAATCATCTTGGAACTGGTTTCCATAAAGGATTGCTCTTGACTCCACTAACATTTTACTCTCACAGGGGAAGCTGTTGCCCAAGCAAGGAAACCAAAGAAATATTCTGGGAAACACTAGAAGCTCATGATGTATGTGCCTGTCTGAAGCTGCAAGGGAATAAGACACAGATTTGGAGCTAAGATTTAACTTCTTCTT